TTTTTTTTTTATATATATTTTTTTTAGGGGAAAAAAATTTCGTTACCAGTTTTTCAGATTTAATTTCTGATGGGTGACTGGATGCATAATATTGTTTTGCTTTACGTTAGATTTGGTAGATTTGAATGGATACAAATGCTAAAGCTGCAAAAACTGGTGGAGATATAAGCATGACGGAGAACAAGAAAGCACCCAGTGATCTCATTATTAACATCAATGAAAAAGATACAAAATTACCAAATTTAGATGCTTCTAAGGATCATAAATCTAAACTTTCAGCAGATTCACCTCGTAGAATATCGCATGATTCGCCTTACAGTGCTCCTAATGTGGGGCCAATGAGTTGCTCTTCACCAGATGTGGGGTTCAGTCCCGGAGCAAACAGGCCTCCAAAAATTCCAACTGAGACACTTACTAGACGAAAATCGTTTTCAAGGTCAATTTACTCTAAGCCAAAGTCGAGATTTGGTGAACAATCTGTACCCCTTGATACTAAGATGTTTGAAGAGAATGGATCATCAATGCAAGAACATGTAATATCAAGTCGGGGTTCGCCTATTAATGGAATTGATGCTAATAGTACTAGTACTAAGGAAAATATTAGGACATTGTCAATAACACCTAAGACGCCCTTGATGTCATCACCTGGTGGTTTCAGAGGAGTGGATGAGGATGAGGAGATATTTAATAGAGTGAACAGTAGAAAGAAGTTGAGGCACAGGAAAGTGAAAGCTAAGGTTTTGGCTGAATGGTTTTTGTTTCTCTGCATTGTTGGGTGTTTAATTGTTAGCTTAACTGTTGATGAGTTGCAGCAGTGGATGCTTTGGGGTTTGAGAATTTGGAAATGGTGTGTGCTTGTTTTGGTTACCTTTAGTGGCATGTTGGTTACTAAATGGTCAATTCATTTTGTTGTTTTGTTGATTGAGCTCAACTATTTACTGAAAAAGAAGGTCTTGTATTTCGTTTATGGCCTGAAGAAGAGCGTTCGGGTCTGTATATGGCTGAGTTTGGTTCTTGTCACTTGGGTTTTGCTATTTCGAGAAGGGGTTGAGCGAACCCGTCTGACCACCACGATTTTGGATTATATTACCTGGACTATTGCTTCGTCACTCATTGGTTCATTCTTGTGGCTCTTCAAGACTTTGCTGCTAAAAATATTGGCATCTTCATTCCATGTCAACTCCTTCTTTGATAGGATTCAAGAATCTATCTTCCACCAGTACATTCTATTCACCCTATCCGGCCCCCCAGTCATGGAGTCAGCTCAGATGTTGGGGAAAACAAACAGTAATGCAAGTCAATTCAGTTTTCGCGTGACAAAGAAGGGGAAGGAAGGCAAGGAAAAGAAGGAGAAAGAGGTGATTGATATCAACAAACTCCATCAGATGAAGCAAGAAAAAGTTTCTGCTTGGACCATGAAGATGTTAATTGATACGATATCTAATTCTGGTCTCACCACTCTTTCAAGTGCAATCGATGAAACTGTCTATGACAGAGTTAATGAACAGACAGATAAAGAAATTACCAATGAGGAGGAAGCAATTGCTGCTGCATATCACATCTTCAGGAATGTAGCTCAGCCTGGTTGCAAGTAAGCAAATGCTTTTACGCATTAAACTATCATAAAATGTTTGGTAAGATGGAGCACAGTATGGGACAGTATTAAGAAAGAACGAGAAGCTGAAAATCTTGTTCGCTCTACTGTCTTCTCCTACCAAACATGTCCTCAATGACTATTTTATATTCCTACCTCTTCTTTCACAATCATATAACGAGTTATTTTGTTGGCAGCTACATCGATGAATTCGACCTAAGGAGATTCATGATTAAAGAAGAGGTGGACTTTGTATTCCCAATGATTGACACGGCTGAGACTGGACAGATTAACCGGAAAGCTTTGACAGAATGGGTGGTATGTGAGACCTTTTCCCATTCTTATGACATAGGAATGGTGAATTGATGTCAGATACATTGTATACTTAGAATAATCTGAGAATGGTACTAATGGATGTAAAAAAATTGATTCTATGCCTTTGTTCAGGTTTCATTTTCTCACTAAGAGGTTACCTTTTAAAAAATGAGTTGTGGATGAGTGGGTAGTACTTGTGGTTACTACGAAATGTGTCGTAAAATTAAAGTTTGACTTTGAAAAGTAACTTTTTAGTAAAAACTATTTGACTTGCTAACTAGAGATGCCCCTCTTACTTTTTATTTATTGTTTTGCCTCTTTAATCAGCTAACAATTCTGCTGCATTATATTTGAAGAGCACTTCCATACGATTTCTATGGCTGTATGATAATCCAAATTCCTTAATCAAGCTCTTCGCCAGTTGGTAGTATCGCTCAGTGGGGGCAGAACTCTTCTTCAACATCCTAATATTTCTTATCTATGCAGGTGAAAGTTTACAAAGGTCGCAAAGCACTAGCGCATGCTCTGAATGATACCAAAACTGCTATAAAGCAATTGAACAAGCTAGTTACAGTGATCCTACTTCTTGTTATCATAATAGTGTGGCTTCTCTTGACTGGAATAGCAACAACCAAAGTGCTTGTCGTTCTCTCATCACAGCTTGTTCTGGCTGTATTTATATTTGGAAACAGTTGCAAGACTGTTTTTGAAGCTATCATATTTGTATTTGTAATGCATCCTTTTGATGTGGGTGATCGTTGTGTTATCGATGGTGTTCAGGTATCTTTTATGAGTTAGATTGTACTTTCTTTCTTTATTTTTTTTAACTCTATTTGTTTTATGTAGATGATTGTGGAAGAGATGAATATCTTGACAACAGTCTTTCTAAGATTTGATAATGAGAAAATATACTATCCAAATTCTGTTCTGGCGACCAAACCCATCAGCAATTTCTATAGAAGCCCAGACATGGGTGATTCACTGGAGTTCTGTATTGATTTCAAGACACCACTTGAGAAAATAGGTGCTCTGAAAGAAAAGATAAAGAAGTAAGTTTCTTTTCCTTTTTTAGGGTTTTTGCATTTGTCATGCTGAGTTTGTTCAAAAGCACTTAAATCCCAAAGATTGCTTCAGTTACTGTAAATTGTCCCCTTGCAAAATCTTCAGCTGAAATATGAGCTGCAAGACGTGAACATTTTAAGGGCATTTTTGCCCTTCGTCACCTTTTACAACCAAGTGGCCCAGCCACTGCACAAAAGCTTAGCAAAAAATCACGCATTGTGGTATTTTGCTGCTCAAGTGTTTCTTAATTTCCAACAGTTTTGCACTTATCCTCTATGCTTAATTTAAACTAATTGATTTGGTTTAGCGATCAGGTAGACATTGCAGCTTCTAATCTGGGGGAAATTTGCTATTGTTTTGAAGAAAAATATGACACCCTCCTCTTAACTTTTGGCATATTAAGAGTACAACCAGGCCACTTGATCATGTTTTGAAAACTAGATAGGGGAGCAATATGAAGCAATTTAAAGAAATTTTTGGGGCTTAGTCCCTTTTTACGTTAAGTTTGAGGGTAAGTGTTGAAATCTTGAAACTTAGAGGGCAGAGTGGTAATTGTCCACATTTGGTCAAAATACTAGTTTATTGGCAATAAATGAGTTTGAATAGTTTGTATGTTCCACATGCAGTTGAACCCAGAAAATGTATCTGAAAATTTGATTATTTTAACAAATCACTTTTTGAGTATTTTCCTTATGAGCTATGATGCACCGACATGAATACGTGCGTCTGACACGATACGTGTCGAATACGTCGACTCGTGATTTTTCAAAAATGTACTGACACAACACGTCGTCGACATGTTCATTAATTTTTTTAAAATTCTTCATTTATATAGTTTAAATTTAGTTTTATTCTTATTATTGATTTTTTTTGTTGAAATCTTTTGAATATGAAAGTTAAAAATATATAATAGTAATAGTAAGAAAGGAAAATGATTATTTTAGAGTGTTTGAAGAGTGTCGGACACGGACACGGATACGTTGCCCTAGTTAGAGTGTCCGTGCTACATAGTTTATGAGTAATTTGTCACATAAATTACTAATGACTTGTTTATGATTTTGCATATAATGGTCCAAAGGAATATGCTTTGCTTTAGAGAATTCTCATGTTAACATAAATTGATGTGAATTGTAATATTCTTTTAATATAAATTTCTATCTGTTTTGCCTGATTCTTGAAAACATTGTTGCTAGAAATTTTTAAATATTTGGTATGATGATTTTTTGTTGGTGCATTCCATGAGTTGTTCATTGAATTAAAGCTGAAATATTCATCATCTTGGTTGTCATATACTTGTTGGAAGCGTCTACAAATATAAATTAATAAATTGCATTGTGTTAAACAATTAATCTTTTAGATGAGGTTGTTTTGTACTACATGGGAGGTCATCTCTATGATCTCTATTGGTATGTCTGGTATATCTGATTGGACCGCACTCGATTGGATTAAAGAAGATAGTTAAAATCTTGTGTCCTGTAGAAGGTCTTTTACCTTTATTAATCTATGTCAAAAAATCATATGCCTCCCTGTTTGTTTGATAACGGAGTTCACATTCATTAAGATAAGAGTCTTATGCCTGCCTGCTAGTGTTGCCGTTCACTGTTTCTTGAAACTTGATCTCTCCCCCCAGATCAGCCGTATAGCCAAGAGAAACCATAAACCACCATAGAAGAGCTCGCCCCACTTGTGAATAAATATTTCATTGTACCCTCATTACACTGTACATCTTTATTCGTATTTCCTAATAATAGGCAGGAGATAAATTGAAATATCGTGGAGCTACGAAGATGGTTACTAAATTATTATCACCCCCATAAATTACCAAAACCATTCCTCGTAGGGTAGTCATTATTACGAAAAGGAGAAACTCTCTTCTAGCCGTTTATATATACCAAACATATATAATCTAGACCTGTTAGAATATCCTCACAATGCTCCAGGATCACAAAAACACAATATTGCTCACACTAAAAGCTGATAAATTATTCAATACTACCTATGTGAAATGCTGTTAAATTGCCTCTATGGATGATTCTTGCCTAAGGTAAACAATGAGTAATATTCTGTGAGTTATGTCGCTGATAAACACACCAAAAAGTTTTATACAATCCTAGTGAAATTAACCAAGACCTTTTCTTATACAATGATCTGCAAATTGCTTGGTTAAGCTTTTAAGTGCTTATAAGCAGTAGGTCCCAAGTAATGTGTGGCTAAAAGTAGATAAAATTTGTAGGTTATATGGAATGTGTCATTACAAATGATGTTTGACCAGCTTATAAGCAATTATAAGCTTTGCCAAACATGCACTAAGTCTTGTTGCATTCTTACTGCTTAGGTATTTAGAGAAAAATCCACAACATTGGCATCCTAACCACAATGTAGTCGTGAAGGAGATTGAAAATATGAACAAGATTAAGATGGCTCTCTTTTTTAATCATACAATCAACTTTCAAGAATATGGAGAGAAAAGCGCACGCAGAACTGATCTAGCCCTTGAACTGAAGAAAACGTTTGAAGAGCTGCATATTGGATATGATCTCCTTCCTCAAGAAGTTCGTCTAGTCAGGAGTAGTGTCAGCTAGGATCAGCAGATGATTTTATCTTTTAACTCGGTAAGTGCCTTTTTTCCTTTTAACTATGAAAATTAACTCTGCTATGTAGTTCTGAAACAAATGTCTTTATCACGAATTTATGACATTAGGATCAATTACGAAGCTAACAATCCGAATAATATTTTGAATATCAGTCAAACAACCTTGAAAGTATATTTTTGCTTTTTTCTATTTTGTCATGTTCTCTAACAAATTATCTGTTGCCCGCTTATGGAAATAACAGGTGATGCCAGAGTGTTTTTGTCATGCACCTATAGAAATGCTGAACTGGAGAAAGATTCCGAACACTGCCTCTTGGTAGTACGTAAACAGATATACAGTCACCGTTGTTTGTACCGTGTATAAAATCTAGCTTCTCGAGAAGGATGTTGATTAATCTTCATTTTTCTTACCTCTTGGGTTTGCTGCTGGTTCTTCTGGCTTTTGTTTCGTTGTGATTTCTGCTTCTCCGAAGTCTACTGCAGTTGAATGTGCGTGTTATTGGGTGCCTGAATTATACAAAATCTTTTGTTGAAACGCATTTTTCTCGTTTTTATTTGTTTTTCCCGGTTACATTTTCTGATTGTTTATTTCCCTATTATTTTCAATTTCAAAGTGTGTTGAGTTGATTTAGGTCTCGTCTGGTATGTCTTTTGCTTTTGATTCTTGCAGAAGAATTTTTGGAGGGAGCTACCTTAATCTTTTGTTTGGAAACTAATTTTTAAAAGCTTTTCTCATTCCAAAGTGCTTATGGAAAAAATCACATTGTACTATATCTCTAAAAGCACTTAGCTAGAAGCATTTTCATAAAATTAGCCGCATGGGTTCTAGAAGTAACTTTACTCAAAAGTCATGTCAAATGAACATTTAACTCTAGAAGGTTGACTTGAGTTTTCATTGGGAGGTCCCAAAAAAAAAAAAAAAAACATGAAAGAAGGCCCAGTTCTATAGCTTAATCCATTTAATTTTGTGGGCTATATTAATGTTGTTGAATTAAAACCTTGAACTGCTTGAACAGTCAATAAATTTATTTATTGGAAGTAGGTAAAAGCATGGTAACATCGGCCAATTGTTTGACATAACTAATTGTGTCTCATACTTGGTCTGCTTTCGTAGCAATTCCATAACATATTCGACAAGACCAAACACAGAATTGTAGCTTGTTTCACAAAGGATAGAAAAAATGAGAAGGCAATGACTAGATTATATATGATCATATTTTACACGTGTTATCAAGTATAGCTAGCACATCGCGCAATTGATTACATAGGCAAAAAGCAAGTGTTAGAACCTCATTTATGATATGCCAACTATAGTCAGAAGCAACCACCCCCTCATTTACGAGCGTGATTTTGTGACACGAATGTTGAAAAATAGAGGAAAATTTACAAAATGTCCATTTTTACCTAGTTATTTGCAAAAATGTCCAGCATTGCAAAAATGTCTAATTTGGAAGAATGTAGACCAAAATACCCTTATTAACAATTTATAATTCCACATTAAGACAAAAAAAATTGACATTTTTGTAATATTGTTATTGGCCAATAAAATTTTGACACATAACCTGTCATATTTATTTCAAAAAGTATATATGTCAAATCACAATAAATGCTATGTTTTTCATTAATTCAGAAATGTAGAGAACGACTTTTTTAAATGTAGAGAAATGTCATGGTCAAAATGAAATGTCACTCTAGACAAATGAAACGGTGTTTAAATGTCGAAAATGATATATGAAATGTCAAGAAACATTATTTTAACGTAATTTTTCATGGAAGCCACTTCTCAAAATTCGTGACAAATTGATAAAAAAAAATCAAATGTTGAGAACGATATTTAAAATGTCCAGAATACCATTTCAAAATGTAACTTTTCATTAAGGGCATAATAGACAAGTTGACA